GAATTAATGGAGGACCAAAGGTTATTAGGGTTCTTTTCTCACTTTTGATTGTAATGCGGCAAGAAAAATATTATAATAATTTGGTGTATATATAATGTATACTACACTTTTGATCTTATAATAATAGTTTATGAGTGTGTTTGGCCACTATGATGATATACACTAGCTAATTAAGAGTAGTTTTTTTTTTTACTCAAACATCAAATTTGTATAGATGAAACTCAAAATGAACAACCGTATAACCAACAGGTTGCATACCAAACATCCCCAAAACCAAGCTTGGGGAAAAATGAGAACACGAGGAGCTAAGACTCTAACGCCCCTACAAGACCAAACTCGGCCATTTGACAAGAAACTATACATTAAAACAAAGACTAAAATCAAGAAACAGAAAAAACAATTAAACACAATCTACAAAAGACCAGCTATCGACATAAGAAAGTAACTCAAATATATCTTCTAGCACCATGGTAAGAGCAGCATCAAATATCACCCTAGCATTTAGCTAGTGCCTAGCTGAAGGTCTTGCACACAAATCTGCACCTGCTGCCATTTCATGTTCAGCCCATCCAACAACCAATCTCTGATTTGAAGCAGTTCTTGTTCCACTGAATACACCTCAGTATCCCTAGAAACACACCACTCACTGACTACCATAACATTGATCCAAGCCCATCCTCTAACAGATCCCCCCACCACTGAAACATCATTAGCACTAAGTTCAGAAGACTGAACCCCTACTCCTTGATGAATTTCGGAAGCCACATTGTCAGCACTGAGACCAGAGCTAGCCACATGAACCTTGCAACCTGACACAGTGTTTTCATATTCCAACCATTCACAATGAGCTCCTGCCACTAGCTGTCGTTCTGTGCATCTCTCCTTGTTAAAGAGCCAATTGTCCCTTATTTTCCATAGCCACCACATTATGTAGGTTGGTAAAGTAGCCCTGTCTTAACCCTTATCAACCTTTTTTGTATGACAAACCTCCTCCTACCAAGATTTGAAATCAATTGTCTCTGTCTGCATCCGTTCCCATGAGAGTCCTGATAGCTTCCATACTCTTTTTGCTCTATCACACAAAAACAACATATGTTCCAAGTCCTCATTCACCTCCCCACACCAGCAACAAACGCCATCCACCTCCCTTTTTGCCTCAGCTTATCAGAAGTACTTAAGCAGTTGAAGTAACATCTTTATATGAAATTTTTTACCTTTGGTTTGATGGGTAATTTCCAAGTCGCACTCCATACCTTTTTTTGAGTTTGTCTCCCTGTACTGCTTTCCACCAACCCAACTCCTCCTTCTTCTTGTTCTGAATTGTATAATAAGCACTCTGAACAGTGAACATGCCCTTTCTGTGAGCTAACCAAACCAGCCTGTCCTTTATCCCCAGTTTGCTTATGTGGATTTTGAGTATGTTTTCAGCATCCTGGGGCTTGAAAGTTTGCAGCACCAGATCCCTGTCCCATCATTTCTCCCTGCAATTATAATGTCAGCTACTTTGCACAGTCTCAATTTATCCCCAGGAAAAGGACAATCAGGAGAAAATTGATGAGTATTTGGGACCCAAGGTGACTTCCAAATGTCTATAGACTGCTCATTTCCCACAAGATAACAAACACCTAATTTGAGAGATTTCCTAGCTTCTAACCAGCCTTTCTATAACCAGGAATCACTAGCTTTTTTCCCTACCTCCCAAAACTTCTTTTGGTAGCAGTACTTACCTCTCAAGACCTTACTTATCAAGATATTGGGTTTTGTGAGCATTCTCCAAATCTGCTTCAGAATCAAAGCTTCATTAAAGTCACTGAACACTCTAAAGCCCAATCCACCCTCACTCTTAGGTTTTGCTATCCTATCCCACCTCAACCAATGGATTGTGTTCCCTCCCACCCCATTACTTCCCCACCAGAAGTTAGCAATTGTGTGACAGATGTCATTACAAATCCCAGCAGGTAATTTAAACACAGACATGATATAAATGGGTAAAGCAGCCAGAACAGTTTTTATTAAAACTTCTCTTCCTACCTCACTGAGAAATTTATTTTTTCAATTTGCAACTCTTGACACAACACACTCTTTAACAAAAGAAAATGTATCTTTTTTTTACCTCCTTATACCCAAAAGAAGCCCTAGATATTTAGAGTATTTAGCAACAACAACACTTTTGAGGATTTGACAAATTTCAGACCTCACCAGATCAGGGGTATTTCTGGAGAAGAAAATGCTAGATTTATGCATGTTGACAACTTGACCTGACATAACACAATAGGAATTCAAAATGGACAACAAATATGAGCTTGACTAGTATTAGCTTGACAAAAAATGAGAGCATCATCAGCAAAAAAGAGATGAGAAATAATAAGGGCATGCCTGCTAATTCTCAACCCTTGGAATTGTTTTGAGAGACATGCTTAGTTAATTAAATTAGAAAAGGCTTCAGAAGTTATGATGAACAAATAGGGTAACAAAGGACAACCTTGCTTATGCACTCTAGTAGGAGTGACATTGCCTAAGGCTTGACCATTAAAATAAAAATAAAAATAAGATGTACTAATGCAAACCCAGAACCAATTGATAAAAACTTCACAAAAACCCATGCACCTACAAACATTCAAAATAAAGCCAATTCAAGCCTATCATAGGCTTTTTTCATATCTAACTTAACGGCCAAAAAACTCTTTTTGCCTTTTTTCCTTCCATTTAAGTAATGAATGCACTCATTGGCTATTATGAAGTTATCTAGGATTTGCCAACCAGGCACAAAAGTTGCTTGAGATTGAGAGATGCATACATGAAGAACAACTATCAATCGGTTAGCCAAAATCTTAGCTATGATCCTATAGGTAATAGTACACAAACTAATAGGTCTATAATTGACAATGGTTTTGGGGTTTTGATTTTGGGAATTAAGGTAATGACAGTATGATTGGAGGCTTTAGGAATACACCCAGAGGAAAGAAAGTTGGACACAACAACAAACAAATCATGCTTAATAACATCCCAAGCAGATTGAAAAAAGAGAGGAGAATATCCATCAATACCTGGAGCTTTGTTTGGGTCCATGGACCACAAGACCTTCTTGATTTCTTCTTCAGACACTGGTTTGATGAGATTCTTGTTCGTTTATGTTGTGATGGATTTCTGAATCCCATTGAGAGCAGCTTGATTAGACATAGGATTCTCAGAAGTGAACAATTTCCCCAAATATTCAATGACTTCCTCAAGTGACTCCTCCCTGTTCTGACAAAGTTCTCCATTCAGCTTAACTAGGTGATCTAAGCTCTGCCTCCTTTGTTTAACACAGGCATAAAAAAACCTTGTGTTTTATCTCCCTCCCTGAGCCAACTCAGTCTAGCCTTTTGTTTCCAAAAAATCTCCTCATTCCTATAAGCTTGGTGCATTGTTTCTCTGCATTCTGCCCATTCTTCCCAATTTCTAGAGCCATCTTGGTTTCCTAGGATTTCTGGTTTAGCATTATAAACTTTGATGAGCTTGGCTGAATTTGAAGACTGCCTAGCTACCCACCTCAGCAAACCAAACTTGACCTGTCTCAGCTTTTTTTGGAATCTATAGAGGCAGGTCCTGAACTCTTCCTTTCCCTAACTTCCTTAACACACTCGTGAAAACCCTCCAATTTGACCCATCTATTATCAAACATAAACCTCTTTCTTACAGGTCCTCCAACCTTCTCATTAATCAGCAACAACATGCTATGATCAGAAGACACTAGAGGAATGTGCAAAACATGAGTCTCAGGGTAATTGATCAACCATTCAGGGGATACAAAATCTATCTAGTCTTTAAGCAACAAACTCAGTCCCAGAACTAAGATTTGACCAAGTAAAAGGGTGACCCACAATAGGACACTCCATCACTCCCAAATTATGAAGGAAATCCTTGAATGATTGAAAACTGGCCTACCCACTCACCAAACCTCATTGTTTTTCCTCTCCACTAACAATAACATTAAAATCTCCCCCAATAAAACAAACCTCACCCCACCTAAGTTGGTGTCTATTCAATAGCTCCCACTGACATTTTCTCTCTAAGGGGTTAACACTAGCATACACAAACACCCTCCACATGCATGAGAGGAAGACAAAGAAAACTTGACTTCTAAGATAAAATGATTATCCACAATTTCATGAACTGAAACTCTATCGGACCAGCATAATAAAATCCCACCCTTAGAACTAATGGGATCCACACAAAACCACCTAGAATCTACATGTAAATTTTTACAAACAGTAGATACAAAAGCTTTCTTTTTTTTTTTTTTTTTTTTTTTTTTTGCAATTTCTCTTTCAACAAGTAAATTGTAGAGGGTCCTCCCAAACCTCTACAATTCCACACCATAGACCTCATTTGGAACTATGGGACCTATTATAGTTGGTTTCCTCCACCTTTTTATTTGGTAATTTTTTTTTTCTCTTATTTTTTGGTTTCTGATTCCAACACTTCACTATCTATGATTTCAAAAGCATGCATTTTCCTTTTAAGAACAAGCAACCCATCATGTTCACCAGACAAGGCAGGATGGGTAATAACATTCTTATTTTGAGTCTAGCCCTCTAAATTTTTATTTCTAGTGACTCTGACAAAAGTTTTCGGAGGTTTTATGCCAACACTACTATGATGAGCAGAATGCACCACTAAATCAACCAAATTATCATGATCCACCCTATTCCCCTTAAGAGAGTCCAAGTCCATAGGTGCTACTGAAGTTGATCCTACAGTGATGGGGTGTTCCACAGCACTCACAGAGCTTACCACTACCCAGGGTCCCTCACTAGAAACTACCGAAGTGGACTTATCTGCTACAACCTCTACATCCACTAGTTTATCCCCTTCACTGCCTTTATTCTTCCCACCATCCCCTACCACATCAGGACTAACCTCCTCTCTCCCTTGTTTAGCAGTTTGACTAGATTCAGAATTGGAATTGAAGCCCTAGGACTCTAAGTCAATCCCCATATTGACCAGTTTTGATAACATTCCTTTGGACATCTGATTTTTTTGATTTCACAAGACCTCTCGTTGTGACCTATTCTCCCACAATAGAAACAAAAGTGAAGCAAATTTTCATACCTTAGTGCAATCCAGTGCTCTTCCTGCCCCAACTTTAACATAGTACCTCTTGGAAGAGGCTCTGAGACATCCACTTCAGCCAAAATCTTAACGATTCTACCATTACTTGACCTTGCTCCTAGAGCGATAACACCCTCAACACTAGAAAAAAGCTTTCCCGCTTTAATGCCAGTTTTCGCAGATAGCCAATGCAAGGGCAAGTTGTGTATCTGGACCCATAGTGCTATCTTCATATCCTCGGTATGGAATTCAATGAAATTAAAATTTGTGTATCTTCATATCTTCATAGCTAATTAATAGTAGTAAAGGGCAACCTTTTGGTAAAATGAACAAAAAAATATATATTTGTTAAATTAACAATAAATTGAATATTTTTCTAATAAACATTGTAGGTTCAATTTTGACATAGCCCAAGACGTGACCATTTTTTGGTTCCGGGCCATCTTTTAGGTGAACCTGAATCGACCCAATAATATATACTGACAGGTTCGATGAATCGGCGGTTCACTATTCAAAACTCGGTTCGAGCAAGATTTAAAAAAAATGGAAAAAAAATTGGACTTTGGCTTAATTGACATATTGTAAGTTAAAATATCAATTAAGTTGAAGAAATTTTTGGGTTAAAAATAATATTTTAACTTATAATATGTCAATTAAATTGCTTATGTATCCCTTACCTTGAGAATCAAAGTCCTCGTAGTTCTCCTACTTTACTTACCTTGATGAAAAAAGATGGCAAGAATGCGTTGAACGCTTAACAATCGTATGTCTCGTAGTCGTCTTCGTTTCCAGTGGTTCGGCTAGTACTAGTAAAATCGGATGCCTTTTCTTCGTCATCATTTTCGATAGTTAACATGGTCGTTTGGATCTTTCGTTCAACCTTCTTTCAATCACTCAACAATATTTGAGCCTCCGAGTTTTAAGGCGTCAATCTCGACCGTGCGCCCAGTGTACATCCCACCTCACTAAATGCGTGTTCAACCCTCACAGTTGAGATCGGGACAGTGAAAATCTCTCCTTGGCCATCAAGCATGAAACATGATAAATGGTACTCATTTTTACCTTCTATCCGAGACATCTAGTTTGAGTGACGCAACTGGTGGTCTGACAATCATTAGTATTAGATTCAATATGAGTTAGTGATTGAGCTCATCGTATCCAATCATGATTGCCCTGTGGATCTTAGCATTCTTGTAGGGACTAAAATTTGACCACCAATCACCAAAGTTTGAGTCTTGCGAGGTCGTTTGTGAATAATGTCCATAAGAAGAAGACCAGAAAGCATGAGAAGAAAATGACGCCGAACTTTCTCTGAGTCTGATTGTTGCTTCTTTAAAAAATTTATACAATAAAACTTTTGCTTGCTCGACGAGAAGCCATGGGTTAGATCTTTCAATAACATTGGAGGGAAGGGAGAGTTGATACATAATATCCTAATATGTGTGGATTTGGCTGAGCAAGCCACTTTCAAGTAGTGACAGATCTAACAAACATGCAACTAAAAATATATCGGGAATGTAAAAATAATATTTGAACTATTTTCTTACATTATTTCTTACAAGTTTGCCGTGTTTATCAGGATCCCTAGAAAAAATAAATCTAAAAATTAACATTACATATACACATTAACTTAGCATAAGTTGCACAATATGATAGTAAACACCAGAAAGTACGTTGGTACCATTTTGATATGTTCATAAAAATTTTATAAGCGTTCTACAATTGATCCAATCATCAATACTAACGCCGACGTTACAATCACGACATTCATTATTCTTAAATAGACCTTTTATTGACCAACAAATTCACACGTTTTTGTTAACATTTTAAAAGTTGACTTCAACCGGGTAGGAATGACCAGTTGATATTGTTTTGGTATAAAACCTTGATCCTTACCATTTTTTTTTCAATTTTTTCATTTCTTGAGGAGGATGATGTAAGTAAGCAATGAACTCTTAATGGGCGTGATCAACTCTTTCAAAAAATAATAACCCGCTTGGACACAAAAATTAAGGACATTACACATACACCAAATATGAAAAAATTTCACGACAAAGGGGACACAAATTTCTCTAAGTTCATTTAAAGAAGCAATATTAACACTAGCATTATCAAAAATAATGAAAAAAGTTCTTTACCAATTTTATAAGTATTCAAGTCACATGAAATTATTCCAACGATATTAGTACTAGTGTGAGAAATATTAAATCCTGTATAATCAATTAAACGTTTTTGTAATGTAAAACTATCATCTATCCAATGACAAGTAATTCTCATATAATGATTATTTTTTTTCGATGATCGGACTAATGTCACAACAAATAGAAATTCTTTGGTTTAAATTTTCAAAATTTTGTGCCAAAATTAAATTTTATTCACCCACAATATTTCGAATATTGCGAGTGAGAGTAGTCTGTAGAAACTGAAACGCAATCGGGTTTAAAGCCATTTAAGTAAGATTTTCATATAAATTAGAATCGCCAATATCGAAAGGAATAGACGAAGCAGAAACAAAGTTAGCTAGATTACGTCTATGGTTTTCATGGGAGTATTGAAATAAAGTAGAGGACGTACCTGTTCTAGTCGCAGATGCAGTGATACTCCTCGAGATTTGCATTTGGGTTATGGAAATCCCCACTTCGGTTGGATGATGTGTCTGTATGTGTCGTTGCATCATTCCGTACCCACTGTTAGTTTTGAAAGCGTACTTCTTCTTCAATAACACATAAAATATTTGTAACTTTTTCTTTTTTCTCATTGAGGTTGTTGATCTTGAACTTGAGTAGGATCGAAATCGTCTTCATATGGTGGCTCCTAGTCTTCCTTTTTCTTCTCGAATTGTAAGCTCTCGTGGATTTTCTCAATAAAGTTAAAGACGTGTTGGGTCGTCTTGCGCCCATTGTCATCTGATAGACCCATAACGTCCTGGTATATTATCACGTCGGCATTGGTAATGGAGGTATACCACTATCACTCGTAAATGTGCCTACGTTTTAACGCTTTAATGGTCGATCTCCTGTACACTACTAGCACTCGACATTTTATAACGTGAAGAATAGAATTTATAAAATAAAAAAGAGAGGTAAATATGATAGAAATTAAAAGTGAGAAAGTATGACGTAGAGATTTTATAGAGTCGAAACTGAAATGAGAGAAATTTCATAGAATTTGAACCGAATTTATATAAAACCCGACCGATTTTATAGAGAATCGGGCCCAAAATCTCAAAAATATCACTTCAAGAATTTAGAAATGAGATGAAGAAAGTGAGTGTTTAACNAAAATCCGACCGTTAAATCTCTAACAATCCATATTTAATCTTTTGGCGGGTCCGTCAACAGTTTCTAGCGCGGCATGAAAATTTAAAAAAAAAAATTGTAAAAAAGTACAAAAATAAAAATAAAAAGCTATAGGGCCTCGCGGGTCGAAACAGCCACACCCTAAACCTGAACGGACAGTTCACAAAAGCATATTTTTGTGAACCTGAATCGACCCGAATAAAACTATGGACCGATAACGAGTTTGATCGGGTCGATTCGGCCCCTGCCCATATATACATGGCCCTCCTAAAGAATAAAGGTAAACAAACAAATTTATTTGTCAAATATGACATAATTTGTAGCATTGTGTTGAGTGGACAGACGGTTGATGTTGCACTAAAATTTATGTTCGGCAGACCTAACGATTACTTAGACATGTTTTCTTAATAAATATTTATATCATCATACTTGAATCTTATGCTTTAAAAAACAACTTAAACAAAATTTGCAATAGTATGCACTTTTGTTCAAAAAATATAATACTTTGATCCGCCTTGATTGATCACCCTGAATTTGTGTTAATCTTAAAATTTAGGTTCATTTGTTTCATCATCCACGAAGAAGTGCATGAATATTTGACTTTAATGTTCATTATTATTGTATATATTTACCTAATCTTTTGTAGTTTTTTTCAAAAAAAAAAAATAAAAAAAAAAATAAAAATCTTGATTTATAGCCTTGTAGGTGATAGGGTCATATATTCAATCCTTTTATTCTTCAATAGGTTGGTAGAGGTGGGGAATAGTTTTGATTTCTTTTTGCGGCCCAACCACTTTATTAAAAAGCTCAAATGTAAGTGCATTTTTTGTTGTTTAGAAGCCGAACAATTATATTATAAACATATATCCCCCAAAACATAAAAAAATTAAAATGAAGATGGAAACTTATCCAATTGAAGAGTGCCTCTTTGGAACTAAAGTATTTAATATTTTAGTAATTATTTTATAGTGATTATATTATAGTGACATATTGTTCCTAAAATATCTAAAAAAAAGGAAGTTAAGATCAAGAATTTTAATATTTGTGTTATGTATGAATTTGCTAGTGAAGAGAATCTCAAACTTCAAATGTGAATTCATAAGCCTCCTTAATTAGTGGAGATAATTCAAGACTTATTATCCAATTAAGTTGAATTTAGTGAGTGTTAATCTCTTCATATCATTAACTTCATATCCCATTTTGCTAGACCTTTTGTTCTGTGATATTATTGACAAAGAGTACCTTCTTGGGGGTTTCATAGTCAATAAAATACTAGTTTAAGCAGCAAATGTAGAATTATATATACACGCGTGTGTATGTGTGCCATGTGTACTTATATTATATCATAAATGTATTTCATTTTTTTTATATTATAACTAAATATTTTTACTTGATCAATTAGTTTAAGCACCGTAGAAGGTTGAAGGGTGGTAGACTTAAAATAGGAAAAGGAGAAAAATAAGAATTAAACTCTAAAGTTGACTTCAAAACGAATGGGAAAAGTCTTTCAAGTAGTTAAGGGCGAAATACATCAATTCTGTAAACTAAAACTCTTTCGCAAGCTCTTGCATTCATGCGAAAAATAAATAATTAGTAGAACTAAATAAATAATAGTTTCTATTTATTGCCTATGAGTCTATAGTTCCAATATATATTATCTTTAATTTCCATTTGTTACCTTTGTGTTTGGTTGTAAATATTTTCATTTTGCCTGTTGACCAAGATTTATTTCAATGAAAGAATAGATAACTATTTTTAATAAAAAATTACTATTCATTTAATGACACTTTTATATCTGCAATTCTAACAAAAAAATTAAAAAATAAAATATAACCATCATTATATTTTTTCCTATAAAATTTATTTTCATCCACTCACATATTTCTAACTATCAATCTTATTAATTAATATTTTATTATTTTTATATCACATCAATCTCAATTATTATATTTTAATTTCATATACATTCATTCTTAAATTATCTCAATACTTCAAAACAACTTTTTCCAACGATGCAATTTTTTTTTTTTTTTTAATCTTATATCAAATCTCACTCACATTCTAAGTAGTAACAGAAGTTAGTGGCATGTCCCTAAAATGGACTGAAAAAATTTCCTAATTCTTCTCCAACAGTGGACCAGTTATTCATCCTTCTATTTTATGAAATTTTAATGAACTATTAGAAATAGGAGTCCCTTTCCCACTTAAATTTTTCTGATTTAAAATACTTGGAATATTTTTGGTGTACCTTGTGTTTTAGGTGCCCCCATGTCTTTGTTTTCTGGTTAATTATCATTGACCTGGTCTAAAAAAATTAGAAGTGGTTTTTATCTCTCTTTAATGATTTGGAGTCCTTTTCACTCGTCTCATAAAATAATCTTAGTTAGGAAATTATTGAAAACTGGACTACTTTTTTGCTTTGTTTAGATTCAGACCCATCCAAATATTGATTATTTAAATCAACCACATATAAGTTGAGTGATACCATTTCAGCTACAAATTTGAGGTTCCATTCAAGTGGAAGAAGACAAATTTTTCATATTAAAAGCAGAAAATCTTTTGTATATTTAAACACAATATTTTTGTTTTTTTTCAAAAAGAATACTTTTTTTGTGATTTTTATTTCTGCATACTTGATTTGGTGGGTAGATGTTCATATTAGTTACTGGTCAAATAAATTAGGCTTATAAGCTACTTAGGTGACATAATTTTTAGTTTGATGTGCACTCACTCAAAGCTAAATTTGTTTTTTTTCCTCCAACCACACCTCTTGTAAGCTATATATTCTTAGTTATTAAGTTGTTTATAGATTTTAGGTTTGAATTCTATGTGCAGATAAGTTCCATGCCAGAGGCCATCTTCAGGTATACTTGAATTTTTATTTTTTAATTTGGGAGCTGATATTTCAAGTTTTTTCAAGTTATTTAACTCATATAATTTCTATGTAGACATGATGAATTCTCAGGCTGAATTAGCTAACCTTGTATTGTTTTGTGTCTTGGTGATTGATCTTCTTGCCTCACATTTAACTCTGCTGCAAGTAATTCTTGATTTTTATTGTTCTTGCTCTGGAGTTTGATTCAGATATGAGATAAATCTTCTTAACCAGTTCTGGAAATTCTAATGAGGATATATCTTGCTGCACTTATTTGCTTTCTCACATTTGAATCCACTTGAAATTAGATGCTCATTTTATCCTTTTTTTTTTATTATTATTTCTGTTAGATTGTTGTAGAGTCGAAGAAAAATACAAGACGAAGGCCGTTATTTCTCTTCTTGGGATTCATGATATTTTAGTCATTTTTGAACAATGGGTGTCTGTGTCTCAAAGCCCAACAAGAAGCTAAAATCAAAGGCCAAGAGTTTCTGCAAGTCATGCAGATTTCGTCGAAAGATAGCTCCATCCAATCTGATTGTGCCCACAGTCCAAGAAATTTACGGTGGTGAATTTTCTGCCCGTGAATTCGAATTTTCCCACATCGAAAATGACGAAACAGCAACTTTACAGAGGTCTCAGGTTCAAAATACCTCTGTTCTTTCTCGGGCGCAAGACGAAGACAATCGATCTTGTTCAAACAGTATGTTATTTTGCTATGCTGATCCAGCTGGTTAGTTATTATTGGTTATTCTCATGAATATGATTTTTCAGAATTATTGTCTATTTATTATCAGGAATACTGCAAGAGGAACAGTGGTTCGACTCTGTAAGCGTCCTCGATTCCGATACAGACGAAGACTTTATCAGCATCGGGGGAGGTAACTAACTTTTGTCTATATTCATATTTTGATTCAAATTTTACTAATTTATTGATTGGTGAAACTCATTTTCTGTGAATTTTTAAATATTTTTTTTGTTTCCCTTTTCAGATGTTTACTCATCCTTAGGCACTCCAACTGAGAGCTACTCATCCCCTAAAAACCACTCCAGTCGAGTCGATTTAAGTAAAACTCGAGATATTTTGAAACTTGAGGGAATAAAAAAAGTAGACGAATTAGGCTATGCGCATTCCGCTAGGAAAAGACAAGACATTTATTTTCCGAGCTCGAAAGCGAATGATAAACCGAGAGCTGGGGTCGTTATATCACGATCAACAGCTGAGAAGCCAACTCCAGGCAGTTGGTGCCCTGTGCCACCTTCTGCTTTTAAGCTGAGAGGAGAGAATTATTTCAGGCATGTTTTTCTAGTTACTGTTTATTTATATTATTGTTTTATTTATTTAGCTGTTTATTTAATATATACATATTTTTTTTATGCAGGGATAAAAAGAAATATCCTGCTGCTGATTATAGCCCTTATGTACCTATCGGTGTCGACTTATTCGCCTGCCCTCGAAAGATTAATCACATTGCAGAGCATATTGAGCTTCCATGTGTAAATTCACATCATCAAGTGCCTTCCCTTCTAATTGTCAATATTCAGGTATCTATTTATGTCTGCTTTGATCTTATTCAGTTTTTACTAGTAGTAATGTGGCACTTTTGAAAGATATTTGGGTACTTCTGTAGTTAGGCTAAACTTCAGGGCTATAACTGCAATTTCTCCTTAATAACATTGAAGAAAAATCTTATTGCTAAACTGCAAAAGAAAAATCACATTACGTACTTAAGAGTTTAACCTTTTAACACAATAAAAAATTTAATCATTACTATTATTATATTTTCTGCAGCTTCCTACTTATCCGGCTTCAGTATTTCTTGGAGAGAGTGATGGGGAGGGGATGAGCCTTGTAATATATTTCAGATTGTCTGAAGATTTTGATAAAGAAACTTGTCCAAGATATTTAGACTCCTTGAAGGTAATGAAAACCATTTTCCTTTACTTTCTCAGCCGACGTAACTGCAAACTTCATTGATCGATTTTCTTTTTGTCCCATGCAGAGGTTCATTGCGAACGAGATGGAAAGCGTGAAAAGCTTTGCAAAGGAAACTGTTGTTCCTTACAGGGAGAGGCTAAAAATCATGGTCAATCCCGTAAATCCCGAAGACCTCGGTTTGAGCTCTGCAGAAAGAAAGCTTTTAAATGCGTACAAAGAGAAGCCGGTGCTTTCGCGTCCCCAACATGCTTTCTACAAGGTCTGTATAGTACTTCAAGTCAGATATATTGAAAAACCCATCAATGGGAGTTGTNAGAAGATAAAAAGATCTTAAAAAAAAAAAAAAGTTTGAACCATAATTTTTTCTGTTATAACTGAGCTCATTGGCTTGTGTCTTACTGTAGGCACAGTCCCCAGATGAACTGCCCGAGAAAGTATTGTGCTGTGTGCGGCTGAATAACATAGATTTTGTGAATTCGGGCCAAATGCAGACACTTGTTGCACAAAAGCATGAATGAAGGTGGGAGGAAAACTGGGACCTGTTTCCGCAAATTGTACATTCGACTATTCGAGTCTCGAGAAGCTGTTTAGAAGCCAACTTTTTTATGTTGTTGAGGGAAAGAATAAGGCAGAGAAGCTGATGTTGAGTGTTGACAAAATATGTGCATTCATCATAAATCATAATTCTTTGATTCATGGTTCTTACAGCTGTTTTCTTTCATTGGCAAACATTTGAGTGAATAACCTCAAAAGAGTCAACAATTCAATGTTGGATCATGCAATACACACGAATTCGAATAAATGATAAATTATTGCAAAATAATGTACACAAGAATCTGTAAAAGCATAACTACCCAACTAAGAAGGACTAGAAGAAAAATGAAAAGGATGGCATAAATTAGCACAATCTCACTTCAACTTAGAACACTTGCACGTCTTTGAATTTTAAATACAAATATTTCACAATCAGACAATATCAGTACAAAATAATTACAGATCAAAAGAATTCACATAATCATACAAGCATCATATCCATCAGAAAAAAATATAAATAAATAAACAAACAAAACACCCCTATCCGAACTCATTGGTTCTATATTCAACTGTGAAATGTATATACCACGTATATCCTATTTCCTATCTTTCATATTATTTATTACATCAAATAAATATTATAGGAAATAGCTTAAGGTGTTCCATGTTTTACCTGCAGAAATTCATGTAATCTGTTCTTCCTTAAAACGGAGAAATGCTACAGGAGGCTGCTGCTGCTCATTGTTCCTAAAATCCATTCTCATATTTCCCATTTGTGTATTAGGTATTGTGTTGGGAGGTCTCAATCTCAACTGTGAAGAAGTGGAAAGAGTGGAGCTATGGCTGCTGGACTTAGCTGCAGGGACATCATGATTGTGCTTCCCTTCATATGTTGTAATGACAGCCTTTGGTTCGCTCGGGGCTCTTTCCACGTGCTTCCGAACGTTGCAGCCTGGGCTGGTGCACTTGTAATAGCTTCTGCATGATAACATAGCCATAACAGTGAATATTTTCTCCATACAAAGGATAAGACTAAAATCACCCTAAAATAATCTCACTTAATTTTTTTTTAAAAAAAAATAATAATGATAGTAATAAATAAATAAATATAAACCAACATTTTTTTGAACTTTGAAATAGCCTCACAAGAATTTGTTCGTCTCAAATATTATTATCCTCTTGAGGAAACAAATTTGTATGATGGGAATATATAGCCAAAACTGTGAATATCTTCCCCATATAAAGGATAACACTAAAATCACCCTGAAATAACCTCACTTAATTTCAAAAAATAAAAAATAAAAATAATGATAATAATAAATAAATAAATAAATATAAACCAACATTCTTTTGAACTTTGAAATAGTCTCACAAGATTTAGCTCGTCTCACAGATTATTATCCTGTTGAGGACACAAATTTTATGATGGGAATATATGCCAAAAGGTAGATAGCTAGTTCAGGATATTATTAGGAACTATACCGAGAATACTATGAAAGTACAGCATTTTGTGATAAGTAAACTCTTTAGCCATCTGACTTGTTTAAAAGCTAACTATTCTCATACTAAAAGACCGTGCGAATAATAGCAACTGACAATTGCAAATGCCAAACAGCTGGATTCTGCTATCATCATCTTAGATCTCATTTCCACAAGTCATGGATTTACATGAGAAAGGGTTAATGTTTCACCTTGGGTAAGGATTCCCTTTGACCACCTTCTGACCATATTTCCGCCACCTGTAACCATCATCCAAGAGGTCGACTTCACTCGTTGTCTGGACAATGATCCTAGGCTCTGTAACAATTCGGTGTGTTGATGCTTGCTCCAAAGGCTGAAGCTCAATATTCCTGTCAATAGTTCAACATGAAAATACTTATTTCAGAAGTTTTATGGAAGTGACAATAATTTTAGAAATTGACAAAAGCTCCAGCTAGTTTCCCAAACAACAATTAACCCATACCTCTAGTTCTCCTAAGAAGTGCAAATTGTAAAGTAGGCAAGATTTAAAGTATCCCTTTTATTTTCTTTCCCATTTTTCTTGTGTGCAAGTAGGCCAAATCCAAAGTATAGCCTTTGTCAAGGTTAACTGGAAAATCTATATCTATAACTCTCTCTTAAAAGAGAAAGTTGTTTCTTAAAAAAATTGGATTGCCACTATAATTAATTTAAAAGGTCACTAATGTAATTTTATAACTAATGTTAGGGAGTTACAATTATTAACATTCATTTTTTAATCGAATTTTGGTCATTCTTCTTTATTTTATACTTTGTTTTATCTATTACTAGTGCGTGGCCCGTGCGATGCACGGGAAAACAATATTACGATTGTATTATAAATTAAATATATAAATAACATTAATCATGATTTATCCATTCTTTTTAAATTAAACCAGGTTGAACACAGTCTGACCGAATTGACCGAGAACCGGTTATAACCAGTTTAGTTCGCTTGAGTAAAATATTTGCTCTCGAATCCGTCAACACCAATCGGTTGGACTGGTAGGATCAATACGATTTTTTAAATAAATTTTGTTATATTTAAAATTATTTTAAATAAAATTAAATATTTAAATAAAATAGCGATTTATAAATTATTTATCAATTAGTTTAAACATTTGAATTTATAAATTATTTAGATATCTAAGTAACACATTTTATTTAAATTTATTACAAAAAGTACTATATATATGAAAATGCTTATAAATTAAAATCTGAACAAACCACAAATGATTTAATAAAATAACTTGATCGTTTCGATGACGGTCTAGTTCTGAAAACCTTATATTTACTGTACATTAATAAATATTGTTTAATTCACATAGATATTAAAAAAATGATATATAAATATTCATAAATCATTAAACATGTTGTCACAAAAGTATTGTTAATACGATTATTTAAAGTTTGGACTATATCACATTCACGTAATAAAATATTTTCAATATAAAATTTATATTTATGTTCAATAATCGATTTGGTGTGGTCGAATTAATACATAACTTCGCCACTTGGGATCAACCAAGTTGTGTCAATTTTTTTTACTATTTTAAATATCACCTACAAATAATTCAATCAACCTGGGCAGTACCCTAATTCAACCACCCGATTGATCCATTTTTTTTTCTTTAAATATATTTAATTTTATGAAATAAAAATATTTTATGATTTATATAATAAATGTCTACACCAAATGATAGTATATTAAGATTAAAAATTATATATCTAAAGATGAATTGATTATTTTTACTTTATGCATATTAATAAAAAATAAACATAGTAAGTTTCAAAAAATTAAGATTAGTTGAATGATTATGCAATTTAAAGAACATTTTAGCGTTCAATATTTTTTTAAAGACACAAATATAAAAACCAAGATTCTAAAACTTTTGTTATATTTTGAATTGAGATTTTACAAATATAAGAGACCGAGATTTTAATGTTGTTTGTTATTTCTAAGAAAAAAATAAAAATAAAAACATACACACTTAATAAATCTTAGCTAATTTTTTTAAATAATAAAATGAACTAAAGCCCGAAATTTAAGGCAGCATTTAATGTTGTATGATTTTTAAAGAAAAAAATAAGAAAAATAATAAAAGTTACTATTTATAGGCTGCATTAAATTCTCATCAATTTTTTTGCTACTATTTTTGGTAAATGTTAATTCTTATTATATATATGTAGATGATATTATTCAACTTTTACTATACATCTATGTATTCATTTTTTATTTTTATTTATTTATTTTGTATATAAAGACTTTAAGATTATCTAAGCAAATGTAAAATTTAAAATAAATAAATAGAATAAACCTTAAAAAAATTGTTACGCCTCACTTCTTTGAAAGCCAAAAAAGAATGAAGAAAAAGTAACAATTATTGGGAGCTTAAGATACTACATTGATAGATACTACACAACAACAACAACAACAACATACCCAGTATATTCCCAACAGGTTGGGGTCTGGGGGTCAGTTGTACGCAGACCTTACCCTTGTAATTATACAAGGAGGCTGTTTCCGTAGCGACCCAAGGTGCATTGCGCTTTTGCCAAGGAGCTCATATAAGGTTCAAAGTAAAGCGGCATTGTTTCGCAATGTGTGTTATAATGTCAAGATAAAAATATTGCATAAAAGAACCATTAATATGTAATTCATTGAACTCTTTTTTTTCCAAATGTTTAAAGATAGTCTTGAATGTCTAAATAAAAAGAGTAGTACATATGTAATAATGTTCGAGAAACACATTGGTTTTTTATGTTTTGTTATATATATACACTAGTAATCAACCTGTGCATTTCCACAGATACGAATACTTCAAAAAAATAAAAATATAAAAAAAAAACAAAAATAAATCATAATTTAATTCATGAAAAAAATATGAAATAAGAAAATAATTCTCAAAATTAATTTTGATCAATAATTGCTATGGAAGAGCCATTACAACCATTTTCTTTATGCTAATACACCCTGCCATTTTCATGAATGTGTGTGACTTAAAATTTGAGTACAATTTTGTAACTCCCTTAATTGGTTTATGCTCATAATTTATGACATTCAAGCAAGTTATTTTGTAACTTAAAATTGAATGCATGTGAATAAAATTTAATGCATGGTAATAAAATTAAATGTTTTGTTACTCCTCTTTATATATATATATAAATTAAGTAATTTTAATTATTGTGCACTAATATTTTTTAAATATATTTTCATGTTTTATATCATTACATCATTACATTTCGAAAAAAAGTATTTAAGTATTAAGAAAGATTAAGCTTGCAAGCATATGTCAGATTTCAAGTTTTACATATTATGGACAAAAATTAAGTAAAAAATACTCTCGCTTAACAACACAATAATTGAAAGATAATAGTAGGAGAAAACATTCAAACAAAATTAATTAGTTTTGAATAAAAATACATCCAATATATATTTTCATAAAAAATAATTTATACCATGTGTATTATTAAAAGTGAACTTAAATATAATTATTCAAAATCTTTTTCTTAATAGGTTAGAAATAAAATATTTCTATTAACAAAATATATAATTTTTAGTTAAGGAAAAATATTTTAAAATAAAACTTTACATTTGTGTATAATGCATAATTAAGTTTGGCTTAAATAATTCACACAAATATATCGAAGATAAGAGTAAGAGAAAACATCCAAACGACATTGATTAGCATTGAATTAACATAATCGCTACAAACAACATTGACAACAAAGGAAGATAAAAAAAAAATACATCAATAGAAATAATGACGATGATCATGATTTGAAACAATGGTGAAGACAACATTAATTAACAATTATAGATAAATGAGACTTCGTGAGCAATCAAGAATTTGAAAAACTAATTGATTTCGTTTTTGGTTTTTTTAACATAAATCTATTTATTTACTTTTATTTAACCACGGTTTTTTTAACATAAATTCTAGTACTTCTTTTCTATTAGTGGAGTTTCTAGAAAAAAAAAAATATATCAAACGACGCAATGCACCTTGGGTCGCTACGGAAACAGTCTCCTTGTATAATTACAAGGGTAAGGTCTGCGTACAACTGACCCCCCAGACCCCAACCTGTTGGGAATATACTGGATATGTTGTTGTTGTTGTTTTAATTAATACCATTAAAGATTGTGTTTCAGTGCCAACACATTTACATAATTTATCATATAATGTGTTTCCTCTTTTAATCCAATGGAAAAATTTGAATGTTCAAGCATAATTTCAATAAAACTATAACTTTTAAATCATAAAAAACATATTAATGATCATGTGAGCACGTACAACTTCCTAGTTTCCTTAAAGATTTGAACTATTAACATCCAGAATTACATAATACGTCCCTGAGATTTTATTTTGTCACGTATTTTACCCTCTTCTTAGAGGAAAAAAGACCAAAAAATGAAAGATGTGCAATTTCAGAAGTTATTTTCTTTTATTTCCTTTCATTATTTTTTCCGACAATTCACCAAAACCTTAAAGTCATTTGTTGATTCTATCCTAGTGAAACCAAAAGCATTACCTTCTTTTCGAGTTGGGCTCATCCTCGTCTCTTCCATTTATTCCAGTTTCATCATTGCCAACTTCTTCGCTATCACTTGATCCAGACACATGGTCGGGTGTAACTTGACTAGGTTCTTGATCTTTATTAGCCCCGTTTACATTTCCTGTCTGACCCTCAGATTCAGAGTTATCCTTTGCACGCTTACTTGGCGGGGGATGGTTATGCTGACCCTTGTATATAATCTCCGTTATCTGAGCATCCTGAGACCGCTCGACTTTCTTCTTGACAGGACAACTAGGATGAGTGCATTTATAATAGCTCCTGGGATATTCAGCCCCTTTCACCTGCTTTTGCCCGTATTTCCTCCAGTTGTATCCATCCTCAGCTGGTTTATCGACATTTAAGTTGGAAAGTTGGGATTTCTGCTGATCAGATTGAGATATTTTGTTGGGCTCATTATTTGTTTTACGGTCTGAGTTTGGGTTCGGGAGAGGCATGTTCTGTTGCAAAGCTGGATATTCGGAGTGCATGAGCCGTTGTTGCGCCTGAGCATTCACTTGAGCAAGGAATTGTTGATGTGCTATTCCTAGCTGACCCTATTTCACGAGGAAGATAAAAAAATAAATGGTCATAACAGGTCGAAAGTGACGATTCCAAGACGTTGAGGAATATTGTCAGGATGAAATTTTGAGGCTTTGAATAAAACTCCAAATGCTAAAACTCAATTTACAACTAATATGCTGCTACCAAATGACACCATAACTAGAGAAACTGACCCAAACAAGTATGTTGCTAATAGGTTCACATAAGCTGAATCACATGAAAGTTCATGCCATTTTCCCTGTTCACAGCTGCACAATTTATCAAGGAAAATAGGATAATAGAATGAAAATTTCTGCTCGAGTATCCTGACAAACCAACATTCATTTCCACCCTATAAAAGGCAACTTAATACGTCTCACGTTCCTATTAATGCTCGCAATTCCTGTCATTTCCTACTTTCCAACTTTCCAGGTATGTTAAGTATCTGAAAAGTACCGCATACATAAAAATAGAAGCTAAAAAGTAAGTAACAACAAACAAGTATTACCACATTAATTACAAAATCTCTCTCTCTACTAGCAAAATATTTAACCTTTGTCGTCCAAATTGCTTCATTTTGTCACAAACCTTAGGAGGAACCTCTTTATTTTTCAACTTCATTTTCACCTATTAAACAATTAGTTGAATGATCAAGATATAATCAAGTTAATTCGTAGTCCTAATACCAACCCATCTAATCTCGCCCGGCTGCGGTTCCAAAACAAGCACCACAAAGAAATGCATATTCGCAAAGGACAATCAAATCAATCAGCTAGAAGAAGCCCTCAGAATCACATCAAACCAGACAAAATTATGAACATCAACTCCCACCAAACACCTGGGAACAGGAAATATAGAATAAAAAATTACCTGCGAATTTGATGGGAAAAACCCTGGCGAGTCGAGAAAGCTAGCCGGACTCAGCCCCGGCGAAATCGCGAATATCCCCTGCGGCTGAGACACCACCAACCCCGCCGGCATACTCTGCTGAAACTCAAAATCCTGCCCGATGCTAGGCGCCACGGCGGGAGACGACGAGGCGCCGGCGAGAAGCTGAGAGAAGGAGCGGCAATCGCCTCCGGGGTCATTATCGGCGAAGAAGCTCGAGACCAGGGTCATCGGGCCCGGGCTGATCACCGGCCCGCCCATAAACAGGCTCTCTACCGAGCTTCTCGATGGCAGCGAGACCGTCGGCGCCGGAGGCTCACGCGGTGGGGGCTGGTTGTCGGGCATTTTTTGCTAGAATCTGGTTTTNAAATTTAAAAGAGTTAAAAATCAGTTACAAGAGTACAATACAACCCTAAATTAATTTTATCATTGAATTTATCAAACTAGTTTACAAATATGAGAACACATGTAATACTTTCATGATTTTAGGTTTTTACTTGTTCTTCTAATCATTCGCTTTCAGTTGTAATGCACCAATTGATTACTAGTTAAATTTATTTAAAGTGTCAAATGTCACACTAGAACTACAAGATTGGACCAACTCCCTTGTCATCACACACAAGAGGTACAAAAAACACAAGAGCAGACATAGCTGCACTAAAAAGCAAACAAAACTGCACTAAACGAACAAAAAACACAAGAAAAAAAAAAACAACTCACACTTAATAAACAAAAATAGAATAATACCACCCCTAAGCCTAGTAACCGAATCTCATGACCACCTAAACTGCCTACCGAGTCACACCCACAACAAGAACGCCAACGAGCAACAAAACTAGTCATTAAAACCGAAAACTACGGCAACTCAACCGCCTAGACGGATTTTCAGTCCAGATCTGACTCCGAAGAACATCCACGTCGGGGGAGGAAACGAGAGCCGCCAAGAACTCGCATGAGGGCCCTAGACAAGGATCCGAAGAAGCACCCGCAGCAACCTGAGTGGCCCGACCCGACGAATCGGCGACCGACGAATCGGCGACCGACGAGACAAAGCATCTCGGCTAGGCGCAGCAGAGCAGGCACCTTGGATCCAAGGAGAAGAAAATAGCACAATATCAGACCTCTGACGAAATGACTGTCTCTCGCGGCTGGAGACGGAAAAAAGACGTTCGGTGACCCCTCTGGGGCCGGGGGAAAGACCGGGAGGCGAAGCTCACCGCTGGCTATTACACCCGTTGGGATTCAGGAGGGGCACCCAGCCGCGACTCAACGAGGTCGCCCCGGTGGCCACTGGGATCAATTTGCCGGCAGAAGGAGTGGCAGCGAGATCTGAGATGGTGGCTTTCTGCAGGAAGAGGAAAGAGGTTTTGAGAAGAGGAAAGGAGATTTTTTTATTCTAAGGCAAGAGCTTTTTTTTGGCTAATTTACTTAAACCAAAATCCACAAATTAAATGTTTTTTTGCCAAGTGAAAGTCTGAAATGTAAAGAGTTAAGTGAAGTTTCGTACTCTCGTTCTCGTCTCAACTTTTTATTTTTCTAAAAAAAATTGCTCATTCTTTTCTCAACTTTGAGTTAGACACATATAGGTCAATCAATCAAAATGCACGTTAGGTTGTTTATTTGTTAAGTTTTTGCATTTTGGGCCAATTTAGATTGTTTAATTTTTGGTTTTTGTATTCGATATTTATAATGTTGAATGTCAAAATCACAGGCAAGATAGACTAATTGGCATATTGTTAATCATGCAATTACTGTTGTAGATATTGAAATTTTAATATTTTATTAGTTAATGTCTTTATTTATTTTTGACATAACAAGATAAATAAGATATTCGATATTTATAATGTTGAATGTCAAAATCACAGGCAAGATAGACTAATCGACATATTGTTAATCGTGCAATTACTGTTGTAGACATTGAAAATTTTATATTTTATTAGTTAATGTATTTATTTATTTTTGACATAAATTCAAGATAAATAAGATATTTAATTAACAATGCAAATATTTCTTGCCCACCAAGTCAAATCTTAGGATAAAGAAATAGATTATATCAAATTATGAAGGACCAATCAAATTGATGTCTTTTTGCCTAAGATTCTCTCTCCTACACCTATAAATATGGGCTCTCCCAAAGCTGAAAAAACACAACTCGTAAATCAAAGTCCCAAGTTCAAGAGCTCTCAAGAACTCTCTTGAAAATCTGAAAACGTTCTTGAAGATCCAAGGATATTCAAGTTGAAGATCGACATTCAGCCTGCAATCAAGCATTCGAATCACCGAAATACGTTCAATGAAGAGGAAGGCCAAGAAGAAGAAAAAGATGTGGGAACTCTTCTCCGAGAAGAAAAGAGACGACATCCACTCGTCTCAAATCAATTCAAGAACATCAATAGCGTTCAAGTACCATTCAAGCCGCGTTCGTTGAGAAATTCAAACAATATTGTGCTTGATCCGAGAAAAAACAATCAAGCCATCGACCCAATATTATGCAAGTCCAACGAAGATTCAAATTCGAATTCCAAAAGAGAAGAATCAGAGGAGATAAATATAGATTGCATCCGCAATATCGTTTGATCGAAATAAAATAAAGTTGTACAAAAGTTTTATGTTTTTCATAAAATTCAATGTTACAAATTTAGCATGCCCAATGAAACACGAAACAAAATTTGTTAGTAAAAATTTGGTACGCCCAGTAGAACACGAAATAAAATTTGTTGTTACAAATTTTGGAACGCTCGGTGGGACTCAAAATAAAATTCATTGTTACAAATTCGTAACAATAAATTTTATAAGAAAGAATATAAAATATTTGTACAACTTAATTTTATTTCGATCAAACGGCATTGCGGGTGCAATCTCTATTTACCTCCTCTGATTCGTCACTTTGTGAACTTGTATATGATCTTCAATTTTGGATTTGAAGATTGGATCTCCTTCATGCTTGAACTTGAATTTGTCTAACGTTAATTAGGGGTCGAATGACTTGATACCGAATTAAACGATTTTGACTTGATTTGATTGTAGACGATTTCTTGAAGGACTTGCTTCTTCGATATTCCTAGAATGTGGATTTGGGCTTGAATAACATTGACTCGAGGGCCTAGTAGTCTTTTTCCAGATCAAATGCTATGATGGTTGAACTTATCGACGAATGCAGCTTGAGTGTCGTTTGAACGCTGTTGATAAGATTTGAGAGGAGTGGATGTTACCTCTTTATTTGTTGGAGAAGAATTGCCACCTCTTTTTCTTCTTCTTGGCATTCTTCTCCATTGAGCATACTACAGAGGCTTGATTTTAAATTGATTGTCGGTCTTCGATTTGAATTCCTTTGATCTTCAAGAACTCATTTGAACCTTCATGAATGTCGTCGGATCTTCAAGAGAGTTATTACGAACTGTTGAACTTGAAACTTTGATTTATGAGGTGTGTTTTTTTTGGGTTTGGGAGAGTCCCTATTTATAAGTGTAGGAGAGAGAATTAGTTGGGACATAGTAATGAGACCACTTATTTGTTTTTTCTCGGAAAGATAATATATTAAAAAAAAAACTCAAAAACGAGTACCTGAGGTGTCAACTGAAACCACAAGAACCAACACAAAGGCGGGATCCACCCCCTTGGAATTACACTGTCAACCAAGGCGTACAAATGACCCGCAAAATACACAACTCCAAAGTGGAGACATAACACCTCCAAAATAGAGATTACAACTCTATAACGGAGACCAAACCCAGACGCAACTGGACAAAGACAACCAACAAAGAGAAACACTAAAAAAAAAAAAAAGCAAACAACTCATACCTCTTTAATACAATAAATACCTCCTCACTACCAACCACAAAATCCTAATCTCCTCAGCGAAAGCAACAACCGAAAATAACCCAAGAAACAGAATCAAGCCTGACCGAGATCTAGCAACTCCAAACTCTTGAACTCAACAGGCTAAGACTAACTTGACCCAAAGCAACAAGGTCTAATCCTTCTTTCAAATGGATTATCACCGGACAACAACCCAGGACCCGGTGACCGATACCTCCCCCAACATAACCCGACACCAACAAAAACAAAAATAAAAAACAACATACCGGAGGCGGAAGCGCCCAACACAACCTCCGGAATCAGGCAGTCCCAGGGGAGATGCTCTTGCTAACACTAGCTCCGGCCCCCACGAGAGTGATGACCTTCACCGGAAGCCTTGACCGAGTACCCAAACTACTCGACGAACTCGCCAGGAGGGGGAGCACCAAAGCAGGAAGAACTGACGCCATGGCTGGGCTGACCCACCCCAAAGCATGTCATCCTGCGGAGGAGGCTAAGCCACGGAGGCAGTAAACAGGCGGATCCACGACGGTAGAGAAGAGACTGAAAAGAGGATAGGGAAATGGGACCTGGGTCTTTTAGAAAAAGCCCTATAGACTTACCGATTAGTTTTGATTTTTTCAGTTTGTTATTATTCAATTGAGCCCTTAGAACATCTTCAATGGTCTTTCCATTAATCTATTATGTTGCCACACAGCACAAATAATCCTATGTGTATGAAAAATGTCTAGAAGTCTTTTTAGATGTAAAAGTCATTCTAACAACTTCTATTATATATTATATCATTTATTCAATTTATCTTTCTTTCCCAACCAATTTCAGTGATATCACAATTCACATCAACTATTGGAGATACAATTTATTTTAATTTTCTTTCTATGCTCTGCAATACAAAATGGACAATGTTCCAATGCTTTTCAATCAAATCCAAATTCCACTTCTAAATTCGGGTGTATTCAATTTCAACTTTTAGAGACTTTTTAAGACTTTCAGAATTCTGGTGTATTCAATCAAAACTTTTAGAGACTTTTGAAAAGTTTACATGTATTCAATTGAGACTTTTAAAGACTTTTAAAAAGTCCTTAAAAGTCTCAGGGCATTCAATTAAAACTTTCTGAGAGTCTCTATAAGTCACCCTGTATTCAAAATATGAAGACTTTGTGAGACTTTTAAAATTGTGAGACTTTTAGAGACTTTTCTAATAAAATTACAAAGAGAAAGTCCCAACAGAAATCTCATCAATATTGGTGAGATTTTGCTGGACTTATGTGACTGTCTTCACGCTCCCTTTCTTTTTTATTTCTAACACGACTTTGTATCTCATATCACTTTCATGCTCTATTATTTTACTCATTTATTTTGATACCTTGTATAATTTTTATTTTTCATTACGTACATTTAACGTGATCTTTATTTTATATATTTTTTATTATGGTTATTTTATGTATGTATACCTTTTTCCGGTATTTAGGATCGATGCTACAAAAAGATGGCAGCATTGATGTTGATGTTAGACATAGAATTGCAGCCGGTTGGTTGAAATGGCGTCAAGTTTCGGGCGTTCTCTGTGATAAGAGGGTGCCACAAAGGCTAAAAGGTAAGTTCTATAGGACGGCGATTCGCTCGGCGATGCTATACGGTGCTGAATGTTGGCCTACAAAAAGGCAACATGTCCAACAACTAAGTGTAGCAGAGATGCGTATGTTGCGTTGGTTCTGTGGCCACACAAGAAGGGATAGAATCTGGAATGAGGATATTCGAGATAGGGTCGGGGTGGCTCCAATTGAGGAGAAATTGGTTCAACATCGGCTGAGGTGGTTCGGACATGTCCAACGGAGGCCTCCTAATGCACTGGTGTGTAGGGAGTTCTACAGCGGGTTGATGATGTAAAGAGAGGTAGAGGTCGGCCAAAATTCACTTGGGAAGAGTCGGTTAAGAGAGACCTTAAAGATTGGAATATCCCCAAGGATTTAGCAGTGGATAGGAGCGCTTGGAGGCTAGCAATCAACGTGCCAGAACCGTGACTTTTGCTCCTTTCTCTTTTGCTCCAATCTCTTCCTTTTGTTTTTGAGCCCTTTTTGTGTTTCTCTTACAATTGGTTCTCTTGGGGTTCATCTCTAGCCTACCCCAACTTGCTTGAGACTAAAAAACTATGTTGTTGTTATTGTTGTTACGTATGTATACCTTTATTCTTTCATTTTGTTATCTTGTGAATTTGATTTTTTAAAGGTTAAATGCTTCCATAGTTTGAACTTGCAAATAATTTATTTGTTCTCTCTTTTTATTTGTCAATGTTTATTTTTTAATATTAATAAAATTATTTTATTTTCTAATAGTTTATCTGTTGATATTGAATTGTTTTTAATATTATTGATCTTTATAAAATACAATTACTGTTTTTCGACAATGTTTGTATCTTCCATAGTTCGACTCGTTGAAATTCGGCTTGATTTGCTCGTTGAATAAATCTAAAATCCTAAACAATTTGTTAGTAAATAATTCATTTTGCATAACAATGAGTTGATTCATAAATTTTTAGAGGATTAATATATAAAATATATTTTTTTTCATTTATTCTTCTTGATATTAGTTATTATGTTACGTTTATTAATGTTTCATTCAAACATAATTTTATAATGACAAATATATAAAAGTCCACCAAAATCATGAAAGTTTTACAAATTCTACAAAAATCATCAAATTTAAAAAATTTTAAAAAATAAAGAATCTGAATACAGTCCTACTGTATTCAACTTCAGAATCTTAATGCCCCAAGGTTTGCCGGCTCAAGTGCGGAAAAGCCAATGGATCAGCAGCGCCACCTCAACCCCGCCTCCTCCTCCCCCGCCGCACCTGTCAAACCACTTCATTGTATCGTCAAGCTCGGTGAGCTTTCTATATGCCTAGCGTCTTCATATTTCTTCTCGATTTAGCTAACTTGATTTGGGTCGATTAGTGTTGCTAATAATTAATTTGAACTTTTTAACCTGTTGCTTTTGTTGCATCAACATTGCTAAAGCTGTTATTTTCAATTTAATTTTATTTTTTTCTGATGACAAGTAGCAGGTGCAATCTGAGAACAATATTACTTTTTCACCTCATATTATGCACTTTATGCAATATTGTAACTCATAATCAGAGACAGATACATATTGGTTGTGGCTCACCATGTGTAGTGAGACAATATATATATATATATATATATATATATATTTTCTGAATTATTAGTTCATGCAATTTTATCTTTTGCTGAATGCAGGTGGTGCTGCAATAACCTGTAAAAATGAGTTTGAGACAATAAATGAGGAAAACCTCAATATAGTTTCATCACAGCTAAGGCATGCAATGATTTCGGGGCCTTGCCATGGTATGGATTGGAGCAGAAGGCCTGGGTCATCAGAAATTCCGACCGTTGTTGATGACTTGGATGATCAGTTGATAGACTCCAAACAGTTTATTGTTGTTCACGGTGCAGGTTGACATTTTACCTTGATATGTTGTACAACTGAGTTTAGTATTTGCCAGTGACTTGTTGATATTTGCCTGATAGCTTTTTCTATAGTTAAACTGGGTGAAGATGCGTGTGTCACACAAATCAAAATGACAAATAATATGGACTTTCTTGAAGTTGTGGGAAGAATATTTTAGAGCCATAACTAATTTGAAAGAGTATACTTGAATGCATAAGGATCTTTAAGAGCATGGGTATGTTAAATTGGATTTGAACTGGTTGTGCTCTCAATAATTTGTCTTTCAATAACCAAGAGAACACTACTCCGTTACTGAATGTTGTGCTCTTATTAGGCCAATAAGAGTACTTGTTAGTGTCAATACTGTTGTCATCAATTTCACGTGTTCCACTGGGAGAAGCTATATCCAGGAAAACAACTCAAATTTATGACTTTCAGCAATATAGCAGCCTATCAACGGCAATGACTGTCACTGTCATAAAATGTATGGTACAACTGCTCATGAGTTACCTTCAGGTTCCTTTGGCCACTTTCAAGCTAGCAAGTCAGGGGTTCATAAGGGTGGATTGAGTAGGCCCCTAGTCAAGTCTGGTTTTGTAGCTACTCGAATATCTGTAAGACTTAGAAGAATTTCCACTCCTTTCCAATGTGTTATATCTGATTGTTGTTATTTCATTTATTTTACACTAGATGTTGTGATGATGAATCATATAAACCTGGCATCAATATCTCAGGTCACATCCCTCAATCTTGAAATTGTCAGGGCCCTTGCCAAAGGTATGAACTACTCCATGCAATCAATTAGTGTCATGTGTTTTTGCCCAACCATTATAGATTTTTCTTTCTACTGATTGGCCTTTTAAGACCTTAATGTTTTGCATATCTACTCAATTTGTTGTTCGAATTTGGCCTAGTAGGCTATTATTGTATGAATAGGTGAAGCTAGATTCATGTTTTGGTGAATATTTATATTGCTAACTTCTTTCAGGGATTGATCAATCTTGAGTTTATTCCATGTTTCTCAGTTAGATAAAACAAATTCTATCAACCTTGCCCTTTTGGACTCCAGCATACTCATTTTTCTTTATTGGACCTGGTTTTCCTTCAACTTCAGCTATTCATTAGTATGGAATATTGAAGACTTCACCACCCCTTGTGATATTTTCAGGCAGCATTTATGTACCTAATTTGTGATAAATATGTTTGTGTCTTGAAGTTGTCATGTTTTTTACTTGCCACATAAATACTTATCTCTTCTTCAACTTTATGCAGTCTTTACCATGATTATAATGTTATACTAATACTCTGAAAAGTGGACAACTGTGCAACCCAGTTAAGTCATAATTATATAATGATAGATAATACCGGTATGTATACCTTCTGGAAATGCTTTTTTATGATTTTCTAGAACACGATATGGTAATGCCTTGATGCCTTTTGTACCATTGCGCGCATTTGTTTGACAGATTTATTTATGTTCTACAGAGGGCATTCCATCTGTTGGACTGTCCCCATTTTCATGTGGCTGGTCGACTTGCGAAAGAAATGTTAGTACTTGCCCAGAGTACTATATATCAAATTCTTGATCTTTTTTCTCTTTGAGTATCTGGGGCCAGTTGTCTGTTGTGGATAATTTTTCGTGACAATTTTTTTTTTTGTTCTTTTTGTTTTGAAAATGCTGTTCTGTCCTTCCAGATAACTTTGGCAGATACTACGACTGTGGGCGAAGCTATCGATGCTGGGTTTGTACCTGTAAGTTTTAATCCTTAACCAGCTAAAAATTTGATGTGAAGAAGTATATAGCGTTGGCTCCGAGGCACAGTGCCCTGCTTCAAAATGATCCATTACTGTTTCTTTCTTTATTTTTTCTCCTTTCTTAGAAACTTCATCTCTTATTTCAGTAGATTTTAATATAGTGAGAACGGATGGATCAATAAAATCTTGTAGATGAATGTGGTTTAATGACTCTGACTTGTTATATGCAAAAGAAATGTGCAGCAGCATTCTGATATCTTGTATGGACCTGTCATCCTGACATGCGATGAATTAAAAAATTAATGTTTTTTTAATATAAATATTCTAGGTGTTGCATGGGGATGCGGTACTGGATAGCTTACAGGTTTGACACTTCTGTGTATAATGCTCTTAAGTTTCCTAGATTCAGATGCGTGGGACATTTCATTTGAATATTTGACAGGGTTGCACCATATTAAGCGGAGATGTAATCATACGTCACCTGGCAGAAAAATTACGGCCGACCTACGTTGTTTTTCTTGTATCCTTTATTCACCCTAGGAACATAATTATCCAAGGGCTGACTTGATTTAGTAAACTTTTCTCCTTCTGTGAGGCATTCTGTTGAACCAAAAGAATAAAAATCTCTAGCTGTTCCCAACTTTCGTCATTTAATTTCGAGTTTCTGCATGTTAAAACATGAAATTTTGTTTCAGATTAGTTAGAACAGAAAACATCTTGTGTTTGTTTCTCCTATACCATCAATTTCAGACAGATGTTTTTGGAGTGTATGACCGCCCTCCAACAGAACCTGGTGCCACACTCCTTAAGGAAATCTGTGAGTATCTGATCACACCATTTGGCCACTCGTTTTGAATATGGTAATGCTTGACCTGAAACACCCACAGCTGTGCGTGAAGACGGTTCCTGGTCAGTGTTGAAGCCTGAATTGCAAGACATGAGCAGGCAAGGTCAGTGTAAATGAAAAAAATGCGCTTTGTAATTCTTATATATGTTTATATTACAATAAAAAAATGCGCATTTCTGTGTAATTTCTCTAAATAGGACCTCATTGTGAAGTCATGGAATTTCAGAAGGAATAGTCACAACCACACCTTTGAATATTCAGCCTAATTAAATTGAACTTCTATTTGTATCTAGGGTACAAGCCTTCCCTGTGCTTGTAAATAGTCCCCTCTAAAAGGTACATATAAATTGCAAGAGAATACAAAATTTGGCCCTTTTTTTTCTTGGTTAATATACCATCTCCTAATGTAGTCTGTGGCGAAAGAAAATGGTTCTTCATCCATCTTTTATAATGTAGATGTTTATTCTTGAAGCATGGATTTTTAAGGTGGTATGGATTTTACACGCCGATATGAAACCCTATGTGCATGACCACTTCTATTAGTCCAATCCTCTGAAATGGGCTACTTGAAAATATTTCACCACTTTGTCATTTTACATGGACTTGCTGATTGTCTAAACTGTTATTACATAAAGGATCTCTGGAACTCTATATTCTTCCAAGTTCTTCATGAAGCAAAACACATTCTCTAATCTTTCCACCTATTGTTGACAGTCGAGATAACTGTAGCTGCTCACGACACGACGGGTGGCATGGTCACCAAAATTTCAGAAGCTGCTATGATAGCTAAATTGGGTATTGATGTCTACATTGTGAAGGTAATTTGGTTGCAAGTTCCGAATCCCGACACTGCACTTTATCTTGTTGCATGGGCTAATTGCAAAAGATATGATAGGTTTGTTCAGGTTAAACACAGAGGCTTGTCAGCTTTCATAATTATGATAGATAATTACATTTACTATATACCCTTTGAGATTTGGATTTACAAATATACACAGGCACACAGCTTGGAAAATAATAAAAATCAACTTCGAGGTCACACGCTCTTACATTTGACACCCTCTGTTGCTAATTAATTTCTTGTGTCATTATGCTGAGTTCCTTAATTTATTGCTAACCTAGATTTCTACATTGACGCCCCTCAATCTTCGCGATATTGACAGTTTGGCCAAAATGTATGTAGTAGAACTAGACCTCCAGGATGTTTTTTGTGATTTTCAATTTTGTAAATTATCTCTCTCCCCTTTCCAATTTTCCAAAGTACATATGGATTCAGTGTTTTATGAATTATCTCTCTTCCCTTTCCAATTTTGTTTTTCTCAAAGCTATATACCTCATTGGTAACCTATGCAATGAAACCAATAAACTTGTAATGCTTATGTTGAAACTATGCAGGCAGCAACAAACCACTCAGAGAGGGCTCTGAAAGGACTGCTTAAAGAAGTCATACCTGATGACTGGCTTGGAACAATCATTCGACTAGCCAAGTAGTTAACAAATGCTCCCTATGCCATTGGTAACCAAAGTACAACATTCGAACTAAACCAGCTGTTGGGTTCTGCCCTAAGAACTAAGATGTCATGTAAGTTGTGGTGGTTTTGTTGTGTCCCATTAATTTGAATCGACAACTGTGGCATTGTCGCATGTTCCAACATGACTTTGGAAACCGTAAATCTTGAAGCATGAATTGCGTGTGGATTTTGAGAGCAAAATTGCATTGGAGAAGGTTCATCAATTTTGCTGTGTTTTGGTGGGTGCTCTTTTATATGTAAAAACATGAGACCTGACTTTACCAAAATTAAATTTGTGCTTTTCAGTTCATTTGCTTCAAGTGAACGCTCATAGTCGTACAAATCTTAAAGCCAAGTATATCAGTATCAATATAACTATATGTTAATTCAGCACCCAAAATAGAAATAACCATCGGACACGTACAAGTACATCACAAGCATTGTCCATTATTTTGTCAAGAAGGTACCATCCATATGACAAGCTCTAGCTTCTTTCATACAAAAATCGAACCATCATAAAAAGTGAAGATCATCAAATCATTATTTCCTCGAAAAACGTAATCGTATCATAGGCACAACTCCACACACCAAATCAATTCTACAAATGAGAAAAACAAAGATCCACATAAAGGACAGAGGTCTTGTAATTTGTCGAGGGCGTTAACCATCGTTACTTCAGTCTGTCTCGGAGACTAATAAAAATATGGATGGTCAACTCAAGGGTCCCTCCCATCATTTACTAATCTATAAATAGCATGTCTGGCACAAACAAAACTTAAAAAACAACCAAGGTAGGACTTGGCAAGCAAAAGGAAAAACACAATTTAGGACTTGGGACCAATATCCTTGAGACCACATATCTGTTCCTCTCCCATAGCAGACATAACACTCACAACAAGGTCTTTTCCCTCTGCAAATCCATCCTTAATCTGCACATTTCATTAGACGAATCATATTTATCACCCACAATGTCATGCTCTTAAGGAAATTAAATTACGAAAGTGTGTACTGAGCTAGTCCATTGCAAATGGAGCTGGAAGAGTCATTGTTGACAATTCTCCTGGCATAGTGCTAATAATGGACTAAATCAAAATGGCTCAATTAAATTCTAGTGCTTCTTCTATTAGTGAAGTTTCTAGAAAAAAAAAATATATCAAACGGCGCAATGCACCTTGGGTCGCTACGGAAACAACCTCCTTGTATAATTACAAGGGTAAGGTTTGCGTACAACTGACACCCCAGACCCCAACTTGTTGGGCAACTTGTTGGATATATACTGGGTATGTTGTTGTTGTTGTTTCAAAAAGAAATCTTCTATTAACAACCCAAAATTTGGACAATTTGTAACATCCCCGCATCACGCAATTACTACGGCCACAACTTCTTAATTTTATCCAAACCCTTCAACTACCATTTTAAACAAGATCTTGAAGTCTCTAAAAAGAAGTTCATAAAATCACTGAGGTCTCCAAAATAAAGTACAGGTCGAAGTATATGGTTCACCTGGGCCAGGAGATTCTCATCAGTTGGAAGCCTGAGGTCATCCTTAGTGTTACCATTCTCAGTCAGCAAGCTCACCTACAACAATTATTTTCAGTAAGAATTATTATCAATGAGCAAAATGAAATTATAAACATTTGATATAAATAAATAGGGCCACATACGAATCCATCCTCAGAGATGTCAATGAGCTGATAGTCAGTGCGATTCACATGTGGAACCTGAAAATTCAAGGGTCAATGTAAGGAACTTGTTGCAAAATAATTATCATTACACATCATTACGATTGATTCATGAAAAAGAAAAAGGAAACAAATGGGTGTACATCACAGTTATGGGAAGAGGGAACAATATCTTCAAGCTTCTTGGCCGTGAAGATGTCAATCGCCACAAAGTGACACTTAGCATGTCCATGCTTTCCAGTTTTGGAAGTTGAAACTTCCACAACCTGAAACAGGGTGAACAACCATGTACATGAAATTGACAAAAATGTACGGAACATTAGTAATCTACAATCAAATCAGACAATGGAGATAACATCTTCAAGTCTGAAACTGGTTCTGACTAAAATTTGTACTTCAAAGTAACATACATTAATAGAGCGCATAAACTAGATCACAATACATACAACTGTATTGAAACAAATGAACAGAAAGTTGTCTCTATTCTACTCGGTGGTATTAATGGCGAAAAGTAGCGACAGGTTGAAATCCGCCATAACTGCTGCCCTTCACAAATTTCTAATGGAAATTCGGCAGAAATCATCTTACTGTTATGACGCCGCCATAGATAAATTAGATTGACTCTAACACACACACACACACAAAATCATCTGACTAGCCTAATTAAATAATGAACCCTAGAAAGAGCAAAAGTTTAATCAGAAACAGCTAATTCTCCTCCACAGATTCAAATCAAATCCACCGACAACAGGAAACCAACACAACCACCGTAAACCTAGAATCAAATTCTACACACAAACCGAAAAAAAGGGCCTAATCACTCAAATTTCATGCAAAAACAGCAACGCCAACTCAGTCACGGATTAAAATGAAACTGAAATCGAACTCCATGGAGTCTACACTTACAATTTCACCAACGAAATAAATAAATTAAAAAAGAAAAAGAGCTGAATCTATAACAGTCCATGAACAACTTCAGCCACAAAATCAGAGAAAACAAAAAAGTAAATGAATAAAAAAAATTGAAGGACGAGTACAAACCTTGCATGGACGGCCTTTGATAACAATGTAACCGTTCTTACGAATGGTCCCGGCCTGCTGAGGATAAGTCTTGGATGCGCCGGCGTCAGCCTTGGACTCGAAGTGATGCTCCTCGTCCGACATATCGGCGGTGACTGATTCTAGAGACGAGTGATTTTTCTTTTTACGAGATTATGAGATTGGAGCCAAGGCTGGTGGCGAGCTGAATGGAGATGTTATATATTAGGGTAGAGGAAATTCCTTGAAATAATTTTTTTTTTTCAAAAGAGGGTCTCTCCTTAACTTAAACAACTCGTCTTACAATCCTTAAAATAAGTTTAACATGAATTTGTTTAAATGACCTTGACTCACAAAATTATATAAAAACTAGCTAGAAAAATCTATAAAATAAAAAAAAGACTCATATATCATTTTTAATTTCCACCTTCTTACTCTCAATTGAAAACAAACGAACAAAATTTCCACACCAATGTTAGTCACCTTACTCCCTATTCTGCTCCTAATTCTCACCCCAATCGGTGATTTGTACATGCTTCTTGTCGTATTCGAGCTCCCATTCGTGTTGCGGACTAGGCTCAGCCCTAGCTCTCTAGAAGCCTCGATCGGCGTCGGAGATGGCATATTGGGCCCCCGAGAAAACAACTTGCAAATTGCGGCCCGATAGGAGAATTGAGGAGCTAGCCCAAACCCCGACGGTCTCTGGGTTCAACCTCGCCGTCGGCGTCTTCGGGAGCTGGAATGCGACTTCTGATTCTGCGAAGCGTGCCCTCGACCTCGGCAGGAATTGGGAGAAACCCCACCGACGGTAAATTGATTAATAGCCGTGAAATTGGTGAGGTTTCTGATTGTCTGGTGTCGATTTTGCTGGTGGGGGAGGAATTGGAGAAAATGTAGGGGAGGACGGCGGTGTTGTCGATTAGCCCCGCTCATAATACCTTGCCTCATTGCTTCGGGGATTTCCATTCTTAGAAACTTTGGGGATTCCTTCACATGTTTCTGGTACAACGTTCCCTATAGGAATACCTTTCTATGGATTACATGAAAAGTTGATAAGTGAGAAGAAACTACAAAAATGTAAAAACAAATCCAAGAAGTTGATCTACGACTAAAATGCGACAGACCCGCGATTGACCGAACTGTTCACACTATTTCTGCATCTTTAGGCACGTACTCAATTTACTTCCCCTATCTGTTGCATATTTTATCGTATAACTAGATCACACTTGCTGAATTATCTTCGCCTGACTATCGCCTTGTTTATGGCATAATCCGTTTCACACTTTATCGATTGTCTGGTATGTTTGTCGCGTAGGTTATCGCATAAATATTTTGTAATTTATCGATTATCTTGTTGCGTAGTTTATCGCACCTGTCTATCGCAAAGTTTATTCCATAAATATTTCGCAATTTTTTAATTTTTTTTGCCACTTTTCCGCATAGTTATCACATAAATATTTCGCACTTTATTAATTATCTTCGTCTGTCTGTCGCGTAATTTATGGCTTAATGATATCGCACTAGCTCGATTATATTCGTTTGCTTGTCGCGTAATTTATCGCATAATGAGATCTCACTTGCTCTATTATCTTTGTCTGTCTCTCGCATAGTTTATCTCATAAGTAATTCGCACTTGCTCAATTGACTTCGCATGTATGTTGCATGCTTTTATCGCATAATTTTTCGCACTTACTTAATTAATTTTGTCTGTATGTCGTATATTTTATTGCATAATATTATCGAATTTATCGATTATTCATCGCCTTCTTGTCCCATACGTCATCGCATAAATATGTCGCACTTTATCCGCCTATCTGTTGCATATCTCTTCGCATAAGTATTTCGCACTTTATCAATTGCCTCTTTGTGGCATTTCTTTTCACATTTTATCAATTATCTTTATCTTTATGTCGCATACTTTTCGCATCAATTATCTTCGCATGTCTTTCTTACATTTTGTCGCACAATTGGTTCGCATTTTATCAATTATGTTCGTCTATTCAATTATCTTCGCATGTTTTTCGCATAGTATATCACATAATTGTTTTGCACTTTATCAATTATATTTGTCTACCTATCATATAGCTTTTTGCATCAATTATCCTCACCTGTCTTTCGCATAGTATATCTCATAGTTGGTTCGCACTTATCAATTATGCTCGCCTGTTTTATCGTATAACTATTTCACACTTTATCAATTATCTTCACATGTTTTTCTCATAGTATATTGTCTAATTGTTTCGCACTCTCTCATTTATATTCATATTTCTGTCACATAGCTTTTTGCATCAATTATATTCGTTTGTCTTTCGCATATTATATCACATAATTGTTTCGCACTTTATTAAATTTGTCGCATAACTATTTCTTACTTTATCAACTATCTTCGCCTGTTTTGTATAGTATATATCGCCTAATTATTTCACACTTTATCAATTATCTTAGCATGTTTGTTGCATACTTAATAGCATAATTGTTTCGCACTTTATGAATTATCTTCAGTGTGTCGCATAGTTAATCGCATAATTATTTCACACTTTATCAATTATGTTCATCTGTTTGTCGCTTAGTGAATGCATAACTGTTTCGCACTTTATCAATTATCATCGTCTTTAATTCGCATAGTCTATCACATATTATTTCGCACGTTAGAAATTATCTTCGTTTGTCTATCGCATAGCTTATCGTATAATTTATTTCATAATTTATGGGGTGAAAAAAATAACTTATTATTTGGCAGTGTGTAAAACTTATTCCGTCTTTAGAACGAAATGAAAATGGCTATTTCCTACCAAAAAAAATACATGCAGTAGATTTAAGAAGTTTGAACAAAAAGAAAGAATTGATGGTAGTAAATTTAGGGATGAAGAATAAAAGTTTCACATCTTGCTTAAAGTGACGACCAATAATATTTCTGACAAAAAGTTCCACATCTTACGTGTCTAAACATACGTAAAAAAAAAAATAGTCAGTAAATATGGTAACGTTAAACACTCCGACCAACTAGAAACAGTTTTCTCGTGCTCTTCCTTGCCGGTAGAATGCCTCGTACCTTCAAAAACTCCCACACCGGAGGGGTTCTCCAGTGAAGAGCCTCCGATGCTTAAATGAGTATGTGTAGAAGATGAACTCTCAAAGAGTACAATAATTGTAATAGATAAAATCACACGTCTCACCCCTATATATAGGGTTGAGGTACCTGTTCTATAAGACTACCCGGAATTGCTGAGTTAGCTGCCCAAGCTGCCAGGTCATACAACACACACTGAAGGTGTGTCAGAGACGGCTATAGGGTATAGGAAAATCGGGGCTCTGCCACGTGTTCTCACCACGTGGGGGTTTGATTCTTCTGAGATATTCTCGAAGGTTCGACCAACTCCAGGTCGAGTTGTTGTTGTAGGTTGCGTTTCGACCAGGCTATCTGAGGGTTCTGACTCGACCTATTCTCCACGTACCGAAATCCCTTTTAAATTGTCTTCTAGTCCATAGGCTCTTAATCCTATGATGTTCGACCACGACCACCCCGTTTGGATGTCGCTCGACCAGGTGGTTCGTTCGGTTTATTCGACCGGTTTATCCCCTTATGTATAATATCCCATATCATCTGAGGTGCGTATTATGCTAATAATATTCGAAACATATTCGTGTATTGATACATTATTCAACGTTGATATCGGAATGAAAAAAAAAAAAGGCTGATTGTCGTAACTTATTCGGCGTTCGATTTGGATATGCGATTAGTGAATATTCGGCGTTATAGATTTTGATATGCAATCGTAAACTATGCGGTTGGTCTAGATATGTGATTACAAATATCGTTTATTTATACTGGTTTTTGTCTTTGTCATTCCATTATAACCCTCATATTGTTCGCAATTATGTGATATCAATTACTTTTATTTATTTATTTTCATTATACACTATACGATTTATTGCACTTGTTTCACAGTTCTTCGAAATTCCTTTTGATTAAAAGTTTTCCTTCGAACATTGTCGCTAATTTTGCTGAAAAATCTATGTTGTTGGACATTAATTGTTCATTATCTATGCAAAATATTTTTGAACACATGAATCTTGATTAAACACATAATTGACACAAGAAAGAAAAATATCGTTATTGCTGCAGTCCTCCAAAGTCCAACAAAATAAGACAACCAACGTAAATTGATGTACATGTGGTTTTCCAATTTATTCTGTTGGATTCTCATAGATGACTTCCACCTGCGGTGGCGGCAGATGGATCTAATGATCACCGTCATCGTCAGTTCCATCATCGTCTATGTCTTCCCCCCAGACTGGATCTTCAACTGAAGCACGATGCCGGCCCTCCAAGTCGATCACCGCTGCATTGCACTCGGTAAAAACCTCGTAACACTCATGATACAACCAGTAAGTGTGGTTAACACTAACACGACCAGTATCAACTCGCACTCAGACTCTTGGAATCAACAATAAAGTTGAAAATATCATCGAAAACTAATGTAGGTATATGCCATTTGTCTAAGTTTTGTACGTGAAAAATCAGACAATTAACGTGGTGCGTAAACCATGTGAATAATATGCAAAACATTTTATTCGCACATGCAGTCCATGGTATGAATCAACGAAAAAATGGCGGATAGTACTAAATTATGCGGCTTTCGATTTGGATGTGCGATTATTATATATGCAAACATATAACGCATAATCGTTAATTATACAGCGTTATAGATTTGGATATGCGAGTCATAAATTTTGCGAACATTTGTCGTATAATCATTAAATATGCAACGTTTGATTTAGATATGCAATAAAATAATATGCGAAAAGTTCTCGCATGGTAAAACTATGCGATGGATTTGGGTATGCAATTTGAAAACTATGCAAAAACAATGTCGCATAACATAAAATATACCACGTTCGATTTGCATATCCGATTTTGGAATACGTGAATTGTTATCACATATGGTAAATTATGCAAAAAAATATCGCATAACATAAAATATACCACTTTCGATTTGGATATATGATTCTAGAATACGCAAATTGTTATCGCATATGGTAAATTAAGCGGTGGATTTGGACGAAGACATGTCGCATAACATAAAATATACGACGTTCGATTTGGATATGTGATTCTGGAATAT